CCACTCAAGACGGTGTTTGACCACATTTCCAAACACTTCGAAGCTTGTCAAAAATACTTTGCTGCACGTTGTATTTTCAACTCTCTTCTTGGTGTTTGAAAATGTGGTCAAACACGATCCTGAGTGTTTGATATATTACATGAAGCCCTTTCCTTAGCTTTCACTAGACAAGGCGCTCAATGAATTGGTTGCATCAATCAAGAAATGTGACTATTTTGAGCAAGCGCAAGATGATGGTGATGACGAGGAGGAAGGGGAAGGAGAGGAAGAAGAAGCTGCTGCAGAAGGTGAAAATGACGAGAATCAGGAAGAATCTGTAGATGATTCTGCTCAGCCAACTCAAGTAAGTGTACTATGTAGATAACTAGTTCAGTACTGTGTGCATATCTGTAGCTTTGAAGTTCAGGGTCTTGATTCTACTTACTGAGGTCAACTCCTCATTGTTGTAATGTCCTTAACATTTCAAAATCTTACAGGTTACATATTTTGTGTTTATCCACAATTGTACATGTAAGCATGTTAGATGAAACAATTGTATGTCTCGATGTTGCAAAGTGACAGTACACTGTCTAAATTAGCCATAAAGATCACTAAAAGAGACATTTTCTGATGTCAACAGGTCAGTTTGTAGATGTTTGCAACTACTTCCACCTCATTCAATTTTCACCCCCAAACCTGGAAAAATCAAATCTATCTTGAAAGCATTTTCAAAGTTATAATTCAAACTCATAAAATTATTGTAGGTGTAAATGCACTTCCTTGATGATCAGATCAAAGCTTGTTTTGCACATGACCGACCCCCTCTGTGGTGCATGGGTTTTTTATTGCCCACCCCTTTTTTCATGCCTAAAAAGGGCGGGGCCCCCTATGTTTACCAACCCACCTGCACCTTTGCTTTATGGCAAATCCCTAATGAAGTGTTTTCTTGACTTGTAATAGAACCAGACCGTAGAATCAACTAATGGATCTTCGGACACTCATGTGAATGGAAACACTGCAACACCTAATACTAACGAAGGAGGAAATGTGGCAACCTTTACATCTAACGAGCACGGTCTGAACTTTCTCAGCGAATCAGAAGTAGAAACCAAACCTCAAACTGTAGCAGAACCACCTGCACCTGTTGAACAAAATGAGGGAGCCCCCCCTGAGAACACTGGGTTTGGAGCTTCTGGAGCAGATCAAGGTTGGGTTGAACAGGGGGGTGATGGGGCTGCTGGTGATCATGAAGGAGATGACACTGGTAAGTGATTTACATGCCATTTGAAGTAACAGTTATTCAAGATGTTGTAAAATACAAGAAATTGCATCCTGAAAGGATTTAAAACAGATAATTCCTAAAATTGCTTCTTAGAAAATAAAAATACTATAAATTAAAATGAAACATCCTCAAATAAGATAACTAAATAATGTCATCTTATTTCTATGCAAGTAAAGTGGCTTCAGTAAATGGCACTTGTGTCTAAGCAATAGTTTATACCACCAGAAGTAACAGTTCTCCAATCAAGTTTGTCATTTTGCTCCAACTGGAGGACATTTAAGGCTAAGATGCTTGTAATTTGTGGTAACCCTT